TCCTGCCTGCCTGTATTTGTCTTGAAACTGCTGTGCTTAGACCATTTACACTGCGTGTAACTATGGAAATGGTTAGATCTAGGTCTATCATTTAAATATCTGTCCTCTGTTTGTCTCCTCTGTCTTTCATTTTCCTGTTTCCCCCTTTCCTGCTTCCTTTCCTTTGGGTGGTATGAATGTTTTTAGCGTACACTTCAATTTAGCAATTGGCTTTTCCCTATATCTTTTAATATAAATAGGCTTTCAGCGATTGCTCTAGGGATAACAACAGGTTTACTAAACACTGCATTATCCACTTAAAATGAATATTTTGCCACTTCAGGTGAAATGTGGAGAAGCTCTGCACCCGCTTAGCCTCCTCCACTGGCCCCTCCCTTGCAGCCGTCACAAATTTTAGCTCGACACACATGGGAAACCCCATAGGCAATGTTATAATTTTTGCTTTCAACATATTTTAAAGAACTTAAGAGGAGAAAAGTAGCCTATTCTATTTGCCCAGCTGTTTACCATTTCGATTGTCTTTCTTCATTCCTAAGTTTCCAGGTTTCACTCCAGTGTGCTTTCCCTCCTACCTAAGGTTTCTTTCAGAACATGTCTGCTGGGCTGGAATGTTCTGTTTCTCTTCACCCGAGAATGTCTTCGTTTCCCTTCATTCCCGTGAAATACTTTGGCTGGGTATGAAATTCTGGGTTGACAGTCCTTTTCTTTGCCTCTTGGCCTCCGTGGTTTCTGATGAGAAATTTGCAGTTCAAATGGGTATTCCTCTCTATAAAATGTGTTCATTTTTTCTGACACTTTCTGGACTTTTTTCTTTCTCTTTGGTTCCCGACAGTTTGAATATAACGTGTATAGTCTTGACTTTCTCCAAGTTTATTCCTTTTGAGGTTCACCGAGCTTTGTGAATCTGCAAACTTATTATTTTTTTTTTTACCTAATTTGGGAAGTTTTCAGTCATTATTTCTTCAAATACTTTTTGCTCCACATCAGCCCGCAGGTCCCTGAGGGTCTGTTCTTTGTTGTTGATCTTTTCTCCTCTCTGTCGTTCGTATGGAGTAATTGCTTCTGGTCTTCAGGTTCGCTCACCCCTCCCCGTCTCCCTCATCCTCCTACTGAGCCCATTCAGTGAGTTTTTTATTTCTGTTATTGTGTTTTTAAGTTTTAGTATTTATTTGGTTGTTTACAGCTTCTGCGTTTCTGCTGAGAATTTTTACCTTTGCGTTTGTTTTAGGAGCGCTTGTCCTTGCTTCGTGGAGCGTGGTTCTAACAGTCCCTTAAACACTGTGGTCGCTCCAAACTCTGGACCCACTCAGGGCTCGCGTCTGTTATCTTTTCTCTTACCAGTTCTCAAGATCCTCTCTGTTGCTTTCTGAGTACTTTTGGGCTGTGTCCTGGACATTTTCGGCATTATTTTCTAAGAGTCTGGATCTGCCAAGTCCTCCGGACGGCACTGATGCTCTCGTTTTTCCGCAGTCCGTCCGCGGGGTTCAGCCGGGGTCCAGCCCCTCCCGTGGGCTGTGGCTCCCGTGTGACTCCAGTTTTCAATGTCTTTGCGGAGTGTTTGGATCCAGCTCGCGCATCCTCTTGGGTTCAGTCTGCAACCTTGGCAGTGGTCTACCCCATGGCTGGATTCTCGGAGCCTTTGATGTGCTCTCTGGGATCATCTCCACACACGCTCAGCACAGGGGTGAGTCTGGAACCCCATCCACAGCTTTATGGGACCCCCTTTGTCTCCTTACTGACTTCTCCCCACACGCTGGCTTCCAGGGGCTCCTTTTCCTGGTCCTCTGGCTCTAAACTGGGGCTTTTTGCCTCCTTGCATTGTCACATGTGTCCTGTGACGGGGTCTCCTGTTGGGGCAAAGTCACTCTGGCAATCACTGCTGCTGCTGCAGCTGCCGCCACCAACCCCGCGGTGTGCAGCTGCAGGACAGGGTCCTGGGCGAGACCCGGAGGAAGAAAACAGCAGCGAGTTTCCTGCCCTCCCTCCCCCTTCGGCCCGGGTTGGGGATGGAGGGTTCTCCTGGTGAGGACGCTGTGCCGCTCCTGGGCCGGGCTGCCTGGGTCCAAGCCAGGACATGCGGGAGAAGGGAAAACAGCACGCTCGCCGCACGGCGCTCTTTCCTGACGCTTGGGTGTCCCTGCTCGGTCTGCCTGCGCTTCACGCCGAGGTGTTTTAGTCACAGAGGCCCAGTGGACCGTGCTCGCCCCACCTTAGCTGGACCCTGAAGCCGCTGCGCTTTTCTCCGTCTAAATACTTTTCATTTCGTTTCATTTTAAATAGTGTCATTGAGGTATAATTCAATGCCAGTGCTCTTTCTCAGCATGCGACTTGATGATTCTTGGTAAAATGCAGAGTTGTGCAGTCATCACCACAGCCAATTTCAGAACTTTCCGTCACCCTCCAACCCCTCCCACTCACTGGCAGCCACTCCCCGCCACTTCCTTTTTACAAAATACACTGTTGCAAGGGCGCAGCGAAGTGTGAACAGCGCCATCGCAGGCACGGGTACACCCACCGCCCCCCGCGGTGTCCGATCGTAACATTGTGCTCGCTTTGCCCAGAGCCTTCTCTTCTTTCTCTTTAGTAAATAAAGCTTCGCAAGGTAAAACTGAAGCCCTGTGCCTCCGTCTCCCAGACCCGGGGCCGCGTCCGCCCTCGGAGGTAGCCGCTGTCCTGAACCGGGGCGCGGGGGTCTGCGGCTGTCGTTCTCACGGCGGGGAGAGGCCCATCCTCCCACAGTGTGCTTTCGAGAAGAATCTCGGTCCCAGCTTTGAGATGAATGGTGTGGTTAGCACGGCTCTGATCAGCACCTAAACGCCCTTGTTATTCCCTTGCGTGATCGCGCTACGCTGTACTGCCCGTGCGCTACAACATATTTATTCATCGCGCTCGAGTGGTTCCCAGTTTTCAAGGTGCTGGGCTTTTTCCCTAAGGCTCTGCTTTACTCAGCATCTAGTTTTATTATCTTGTGTCTGTGCATCTGGCCTCCTGTGATGTCTGTGCTTTAGGATGTGTTGATAGTTCCTTCGCGGGTTAAGAATGACCTGCTTACGATTGTCCCGGGCGTTCTGACGTTATTTTGTGCAGTTGGAGAGGAAGGGTCGTGGGCCTCCCATTCTCCGTCGGCCCAACTTGCGTTTCGACTGAGTCCGTCCCTTTCCGAGAGCGGCGTGCTGGCCGCTGCCGCCTGTGGCTGAGCCCATCACTTGCCTACTTGTCAGTCCTATGTCACGGGTGCCAGCCATTTCGTTCAGTACATGAAGGTTTGTGAAGGCTGAGCTTTGAGGAGTGCAGCTTTCAATAGTCACATTTTTCTTTATCCATTCAGTGCTTTTTGCCTTGAGTTACATCTCTGTGATATTATTTGATATATTTGTCAGTATTTTCTAGCACATAATATGCATATTTTCCATTCCTTTATTGTTGGCCTTCAGTGGTGTTCTCTTTTAAGAGTTTGTCTGATAGAGCCTTTTTATATGTTTTTTTTAATTGTGATAAAATATACATAATATAAAACTTTCCATCTCAAGGGTACGTTTCCGTGGGACTAAGCACATTCACGCTGCTGTGCCGCCGTCACCACCATCGTCTCCAGAACTTTTCAGCTGGCAAAACTGAAGCTTTATACCCGTTAAACAACTTTACACTTCCTTTAAGTGTTTTATTTTAATTTTACTGCAGAAAATTTCATGTATCTGCAAACGTAGAGGAAATAGTCTAATGAACCTCCATGTCCCTAACACCAGCTTCAATAACAGCCAACTCACGGCCCGTCCTGTTTCATCCACACGTGTCCCCACTCTGCCCCCACCCAAATGCGAAACATTATTCTGTCATCTGTGAATGTTTCGACATGTAGCTCTAAAAGATGGCGGCTCTTTCCCATAACCACAAAACCGTTTTCACACCTAAAAAGTTTTTAAATAATAATTTCTTAACATGGTCCGCGCATTGTGATTGGTACGTATGTCTCTTAAATCTCTTTTGTTTGTTTGTTTGTGACAGAGTCTCACTCTGTCGCCCAGGCTGGAATGCAGTGGCGTCATCATAGCTCACAGTAACCTCAAACTCCTGGGCTCAAGCAACCCTCCTGCCTCAGCCTCCAAAGTCACTGGGACTACAGGTGCGCATCACCACGCCCGGCTAATTTTTCTATTTTTAGTAGAAACGGGGTCTCACTCTTGCTCAGGCTGGTCTGGAACTCCTGACCTCAAGCCATCCTCCCACCTCGGCCTCCCAGAGTGCTAGGGTTACAGGTAGAGTCTTAAATCTCTTAATCTACACAGTCTTTTTCTCTCTCCCTTCCTCTCTCTCTCACAGAACCTGTAGTGTTTTCTTGCTGTCTGTCATGTTCTGTGATATCGTCACGATGGGCCTAGCTAGGGGACGGTGTCTGCCAATACCCGGGGCGTGCGGTGGCCTCTCCACCTGGGTCCTCCCTCTCAGACCTGGGGTGTTTCTCCCGCATCTGAGCGTCTCGTCCTCACTGTCCGCCGTGTGCCCTCCCTGGAGCTCCTGCACTCAGGTGGACGTTGTCGTGTCGGGTTTCCTGCCCACGTCCCGTGTCTCGCCGAGCTGAGTCCTCGGCTCCATCCTCCTGCCCAGGGATTCGCTCTCAGGTTTCCGCTCTGCCCTCAGCAGGCGCGGGACTGTTTCTTCCCGCATCGGCCTTGCCCGGACGCCTCTGTGCCCCGCTTCCCTTCAGTGGTTGCCCCTCCCCTGCAGGCTGGGCCCTCCCAGGGGGCACCCACCCCTCCCTGATGTGGGGGAGGTCCCTCGGTGCCACCGCTGGCTTGTGTCCCCAAGAGTCGCCCCTTGTTCCATGCCGTTGTGCTTCTGGTCATGCACGCGAGTAATGAACGGCGCCTCCCACCTGTCTCGGGCTGTTCTCTGACATCCCGCCGCGTGGGGAGTGAGTGGGGAGCGAGAGGGCGCGGAGAGGGGCTGGGGCGAAGGGCCCCAAGTGGCGCAACCCACCACTTGCCGCCACACTTCCTCTGAGGAGGAGCTGGTGACAACAGGAAGCCCAGGCCTCAGGCCCGACTTCTCTGCCTGTGTCTTCCAGCCGTGGCCCAGAGCCCGCCGTGGAGAGCGGCGGAGCCCCCCGCCCTCCAGGACCCCGGAGCTGAGCCCCAGGGCGCGCGTGGGTGAGTGCACGGCCGCTCCGCGTCCAGCAGCCTTGCAGATGGGAACAGTTCTGTCCTCAGCTCTTCCCCCAGGAGCAGCTGCCGCCTTTCCCAAGGGAAGCAGCTCGCGTGACTCCAGCCCTGGGGCGGTCCCCGGCCCGTCCATGTCCCCCGCCCAGGGGAGTCCAGCAGGAAGGGGTCTGGGCACTGTCCACTCCGGGGTCCCGCTGAACTGAGCCCCTGCGAGGGAAGTGCCTGCACTGGTGGGCAGAGCTCCACGGGGCACAGGCGGCTCCTGCAGCGAGGGTGCGGCCCACACGGGAGGGAGGGACGCTGGCTGCGCCTCAGGGTCGTGGGGCTGCGAGCCCGGCAAGGCCAGGGGGACGCTGGGGGCTCACGAGACCCCCCAGGCTGGCGGGTGGGGTCCTGGCGCAGCTGTGCCGCGCAGGAGGGTCCCGGGGCCTTCTCCGCAGACCTGCCTTGTCCCGCCTGAGCGGGTCCCCTCCCCCACGTCTCCACCGTCAGGCACAGTGAGTGTGTCTCCAGACCACACTGTGCGTGTGCGTGTGTATGTGTGGTGTGTGTGTGGGGGGTGCATGTGTGTGTGTGGCGTGTGTGGTATGTATGTGTGGTGTGTGTGTGTGGCGTGTGGTGTGTGTGGGGGGGTGGGGTGCATGTGTGTGTGGCATGTGGTGTGTGTGTGTGGTGTGTGTGTGGTGCATGTGTGTGTAGTGCATGGTGTGTGCGTGTGGTGTGTGGTGTGTGTGTGGTGTGTATGTGTGTGGTGCATGTGTGTGTAGTGCATGGTGTGTGCGTGTGGTGTGTGTGTGGTGTGTGGTGCATGGTGTGTGTGTGTGGTGTGTAGTGTGTGTGTGGTGTGTGTGGCGTGTGGTGTGTGTGGTGTGTGGTATGTGTGTGTGGTGTGTGTATGGTGTGTGTGGTATGTGTGTGTGGCGTGTGGTGTGTGTGTGTGGCATGTGTGGTGTGTGTGGCGTGTGGTGTGTGTGTGGTGTGTGTTTGTGGCGTGTGGTGTGTGTGTGGTGCGTGTGTGTGTCTATCGTGCCCTTTTCTGGGCAGCGCCCCGCACTGCCGTGGGACTCGAGCGTCACCGGCCTGGTCCGCGGGAGGCGGGGTGAGCGTCACCCCCCCGGGGCTCAGGCGTTGCTTTGCGACTCTGGTCCCGAGGGTTGAGGGCTCAGCTGGTGGCTGTCGCCCGGTGACAGGCTCCAGGGGAACCTGTCCCAAGTTCTTGGGGAGGGGTTGGAGCCACACCCGGGGTCCTGGGCCTACCTGGGCCCCCCTGGACACTGCACCCCGGGGCCAGCCCCCCGACTTCTTCCACCCCAGCACTGCCGCACCCTCACACCCAACCATGTCCTCCCAGGGCTGCGGGCTGGGGTCCTGCACTACTGTCCCCACCCAGGGTGGGAGGTGACACCCAGAGCCCCTCTCCTCTGACGGCACCTGGGACACCCCGGGGGGCAGGAGGAAGGGGCAGCGGTGATGGGGCGGGAGAGGGAGGTGGCTCGAGAGCGCCGGCTGGGGTGCCGTGGGGCAGTGGGGACACACGCTGTCACCCACCGGGGGCTGACGCCAGATTCTGAGGAAGTCACGGAAGAGCTGCTAGAGCTCTGGGCCATCTGATGTCACCCCAGCGCTTGCTTCGTAGTGAGCGACCTAAGACCTTTCATTTTAGAGCAGGACCCCCCCCCCAAGCTCACTGCCGAGTCCCTGGGCCCTGCATGGGCCTGGCGCCCTGCGTGCTCTGTGGCACTGTGGACACGAGCGAGGGAGTCTCTGCCCAGGAGAGGTCGCTGCCGAGGTCCCTACATGGCCGTGGCTGAGCCCACTCCTCCGCCCCGGGTCCACCCCCAGGTGCCACATCCTGAGCAGGACCGCAGGACGGACGCCCCACTCTGCCCAGACCCCGTGGTCTCTAGGGGCTGTGGCCCTCGGTGGGGCGGGGGACCGGGACTGGCCGGGGGTTTGGGGAGGTTGGGAGCAGCTCTGCTTCTGTTCTAGCAGCTTCTGAGCACACGAGAGGTCGGCAGAGGCCAGCGCCAGGAGAGGGGACCCAGCGGGCCAGGGCCTTTGCCTGGGTGAGGGAATCAGCCTTTCCCGAGGGGCCCAGGCCTCCTGGCTGTGGCTGGCACCCTGTCCAGACACTGCCCGGGCAGCCTGGCACCTCTCAGCTGAAACGTGGGTGGGATCCCTGCCTCGAGGTGGCGTCAACGTGGCGTGCCCGCGCGCGGTGGCACCAGGTGATCCAGCCATCCCTGGAGACTTCATGGGGGCAGAAGCCCCAGGATAGCGCAGTGCCCTGCAGGAAGTTCTGCACAGGGGGCAGCCAGCCGGGGCTGGGAGGGGCCTGTCTGGAAAGGCGTGAGTGAGCAGACTCAGTCTCCCCAGCTGTGCAACGGGGGATGGGGGCTGGGCAACTGTGCAAACTCAGCTGCCGCTGCGAGCGGAGGCGGAACTCGCTGCCCCAGTGGAGCTGCCGGGGGTCGGGCCCCCAGGAGGTCCACGCCGTCCACTCCAGCCCAGACCGGGCTCCGCAGGGAGCAAGGGGCCGAGGGCCGTGTGCCTCTGTGGACGGGGAGCGCAGAGCCCGTGGAAGCTCTGGGAGACTCAGGGTCCCCCTGCTCCACAGCCAGGTGCCGTGTGGCCCCCCCCTTTCTGCACACCTGTCGTGAACCACAGTCCCGCCTGAGGCTGCGTCCCTGGCGGCTTGCTCCAGTTCCCGGGTGAGGTCGCTGGATGCCAGGGGTTAGTAACACACGCTCACCCAGCGGCTACAGGCCAGGAGCTGGAGAGCCCCAACCGGGGTGCTCTCCACTGGGGCGCTGGGCAATCTCGGTGATGTGGGTGACACCCACCAGGCAGGCCGGGGCCGGATGCGAGCTATGATCCTGCTCCGTCTTCCTTGGCACAAAGTGGGCCTAAAGCAGGAGCAGAGTTGGCCGTCTCACTCCAGGACGCCAGCTGTCCGGCCCCGCCTGTGGTCTCTGGGGACCAGGCCTTGCCTGGACGTGTGGGCTGTGCAGTGCTCGGGAGTGTGCGTCCGGCCACTCCAGCCTCGAGCCGGACCACTCAGAGCCCGGGCAGGGGCAGGGGCAGCAGATGAGGGGCGGCCGTGCTCGGTGCTCCCGGGGCAGGACAGCACCCCTCCAGCCCTACCTCCAGGGCCTTCTCCTGGGGCAGGGCAGGCTGCTGGACAGGGCAGGTGGTGTCCAGACACCCACTGTGAGCGAGCCGGCCTCTTGGTGGAGAGCGGGACCCCCGAGAGGAGAGGCCTGGGGGGCCAGACCAGCCTTCCACAGCCGTGGACCTCTGCCCACAAGTTGTCACGCTGTCACGGCCCCGAGTCTCATTGCCTGAGATGTGGGGGTTGTGGTGGGGGTTGGGCCTCTTGGATGCTCAGATCTGACCAGTCTGAGATGCCGAGACCTCTGTGCCCAGGTGGCAGGGCTCTGCCGGACGGAAGCTTCCAGGACAGGTCATCTGGGGTTTGCACCGGGCTGCAGCCAGAAGTGGGCCACGGGGTCCCCTGGCTGGCTGAGGAGCTAAGGTCAGGGGCTGAGGCTCCTCCTGGACAGGCGGGACCTCACCACGCCGGGGCTCCTGCCTGGGCGGGGCCTCGGGGGACCAGGCCAGCCCAGTGCCGCCCCGGCAGAGGGACCCCCGGGTGCTGCCCGAGCACCGGCGCACGCGCTCTCCCCAGCGCCCCAGAGGCTGAGGGTTTGGCGAGGGTCAGCCCCACGGGCACAGCTTCCTGCCCAGGTGACCTTTCCGTGATGTCGGGCGTGGTCGTGCGTTGGCGCGTGTGGCGGTCTAGCTGTCCGAGTGTGACGGAGACTCGGTGGCGGTGTGGGGGTGGAGGGGCTGCAGGCGCCAGCACAGGTCAGAGCCCAGGAACCCCGGAGAGCCCGGACGCCTGTGCCAGGCCAGAGGAGAGTTGCAGGACTTGTCCACACACGGGCGGACAGGTGGGCGAGTGAGCGATGGGCGCGCATGTGCCCAGCAGGGAGCCCCTGCGGTCGGGCTCAGCTCTCCCCACCGCCCCGGGGGGACTGTCCTCAGAAATGTCACAACGGAAAACAGACAGCTCCGGGAAGCTGCAGAAGCAATTTCAGGGAAAGTCACCGGTCCCCACGGAATTCAGAGCTTCTAAAATGCCGTCACGTTATATACGTTGATTGTGCAAAGTTTGGAAAACACAAGCACCCAGAGAAACATGGAATATTTCAGCACATTTATTTTTACTTTGCTCCCATATATTCACTTTCTAGCATGAAACTGAGTGGCCCAGAGCAGTTGCTCACACGCGTTGCTGTGTAGGATTCCACGGGGAGGGCATTATTGTGTTAAAAACCTTTTCTGATTTGATAGCTGCACAGGAAACCTAGATAGTGTGATTGGCATCCTGGCTACTAGCAAGGGTGACTTTTTCACACTTTTATTAACCGGCTACATTTCTTCTTCTGTGAAGTATCTGTTCACAGCCCCCAGCCTTTTTGTTAGTAATTTCTAAGATCTCTTTAGAGATGACGATTACGACTCACCTTTTGCACTGCAGAGACACTAAATATTTCTTGCGTGCAGTTCATTACGTACAAAGCTTGTCATTTTGAGAGTCCACCTTCTTGGTATTTTCTTCCTTAGTTTTTATGCTAGGTTTCCTCACTCTGAGATTCATATTCTTCTATTTCCTTTATTGCTTATTTCCTAAAACTAAGTCCCTACGCATTTGCTGTCCTTCTTTTGCATCCTCAGCAAAAGCATCTGGGGCCTCAGGCTTCGGGTCTCCGTCGGGGACGGGGTTCGCTTGGCATCGGGCAGAAAAGGTGTCATCTCCTTCCTAGATGCCTGTCAACAGGACTCGATTTCCCCTTTGACTCAGGAGGTATCTAGCAGAGTTTCTGACATTTTCTAATGAATGGGGGGGTGTCTCCTTTTATCCCGTTTTGTCGGAAACTGTGGCCCTTCGACTTGCTGCCGTCGGGCCTCACTGACAGTAAAACGAACACGTGACCACGTCTCAGACACACCTGGAAAAACCCACATCTGCGTGCAGGCGGTTCAGAGAAGACGGAGATTGGGTCTTCCTCCTCCTCCTGCTCCTTTTCGTCCCCATCCGGTCTGGCCCTTTCTGTCCCCTGGATCTGTCTGGAACCTCGTGACCCAGGAACGGCGCTCGGCCCCGCTGCGGGGGCAGTTCCGTGGTTCTTCGCTGTGTTTCTGCGGAGCAGAAACGACTCCGCGCCTGGCTCCGGGTTCGAAGAGGCAGATGCTACTCCACAGTTGTCCCTGGAGCGCTCCAGTCCCGGAAGGGACGCAGGGCTCCTGCTTCCTGCTCTGCCCAGCCCCGTCCCCGCGGGCACCTTCCTTGTCACGCTGACGCAGGTGTCCCCTCTAAGGCAGCACGGTTGGGGCAGCTCTGGGGTGAAGCTCCGGTCGGTCGTGGGGCCTGGCTTTCTCACGCAGCCTCGTCCTGGGGTTTTGCAACTCAGGCGTTACCCTCCCTCTGCGATCTTGCTTAGGGATTTCTTCTTTCTTAATGTTTCCTTTTTTTTAGAGATAGGGTCTCGCCCTGTTGCCCTGGCTGGACTGCAGTGGTGTCATCACAGCTCACTGCAGCCTCTAAGTCCTGGGCTCCAGCCATCCTCCCGCCTCAGCCTCCCAAAGCGCTGGGACCACAGGTGTGCGCCGCCACACCTGGCCCGTTCTTCTGCCTTTTGCCGTATGGTCTGTTTCTCACCTGAACGTACACGTGACTCTCTGGATTTTTCTTCTGATGCCGCTTTCCTGTCTCAGAACCCCAATGCTGAGAGCTTTGCTCACCGTGAAGTAGGATCCTCGTTACCTGTGTCCATTTGGCCCCGGGGAACGGGGGGCGGCCCCGAGGGGCTCTCCAGGAAGGAAGACCCGGCCCACAGTGCAGGGGCAAGACCAAAAGCAACAACTCCCGCCGCCGTGCTGGAGTCGCGCCAGTGCTTCCCTATCGGGCGGGGCCCAGGTCAAGAGTGGCTCCGATGCAAAGTTCTGATCGGTCTGTGGGGCCTTGGCTTAGGTTGTGCACGTTTGTCTTGGTCAGGGGACACCCGCTTAGGCCCAGAGAACCCCTGCAGAAGCCCAGGGGCTGGAGGAGGGGCCGCACACCTCGGCTGGCAGGGCAGCAGGGAGGGCCGTTGGGGGCTGCCCATCTGCCGGCCAGGCTGCTCCTGCCTCCTTGCCCGCCTGTTCCTCCTGGATCCACTCTGGGGCGCCTCCCGGAGCGCCCGCTGCCCTGCCAAGCTGAGGGTCTGTGTGTGCCGGGTGGCCCGTGCCCTGTGCATCCTGCAATATCTAAGCCTGTCCCCACCTCCAGTCACACAGAGGAAACCGAGGCAGAGAGGCCCAGAGGGTTTCAGGCCCCGGGCCTCTGAGGGCCTGTCCTGGCTGCTGCACCCCACTCTCCTCGGCAGCCCCCCAGCTCCGAGCCTACCACAGCGCAACACTTGGCGGGGTAGGGGGTCCCCACCCAGCCCTGCCCACTTCCTGTGGTCAGGCGCAGGTCACTGCGGTCTGTGGGTCAGGCCTGCTGTGACCAAGGCGTGCTCCCCGCTTGGGGTGGGGGTGTGTGTGCGCAGGTGTGATTGGGTGCCCTGGTCCACGTCCTGCTGCTCCCCGGGCCTCAGTTTCCCCATTCAAGGCTCCAGGGCGTTTGCATGCTGGTTGCCATGAGTGTTTTGGGGGGCGGGGGATCCAGTCTGTGGCCAGACAGGGCAGGCCCAGAGTGAACTGAAACCGCCTCCCCAGCCCACTGCTGTGGCCAGGGAGCCGGGTCAGGGTGCGAGTTCTGCTTTTGACCCTGGAAGGGGAAGGACTGCGGGTTCCGTTTTGACATTTCTGGGCTCTGATTGTAATCTTGCTGGGTATCAGGGAACAAGGTTGCCTCCAAAAGACAGGAACTGGGGGCTGGTTGGGGCCTGCAAGCTGTGGGACCCCCAGTGGGAGCCCCTGGCTGACATCCTCTGGCCTCAGAACGCCCGGACGCAGATACCGCAGGGCCAGGCCCCACCGTGGTGCCCCAGAGCCCTCGGGCCACAGCACAGGACCAAGCACCGTGGTCAAGGCGGACAGGGCCTGGGGTGGGGTCTGCCGGCCTGGGTTCTCCCTCAGCCTCGGGCCCCAGGTTGGGGCAGCGTGGGGGCAGGCGCCTTCGAGAGGAGCTGGCATTTGCCGGGGAGGCTCTGATCTCTGTTTCTGATAACAGCCCCGGATAAGAGAACTGTCACTTCCTGCCACTGCCTCCTGGGGACTCCCCTTCTCCCAACCTTCCTGGTGTCAGACACCAAGTTCTCAGGCCCTGGGAACGCAGACCCGGGTCCCACCCCACAGAGCACACCCCGAGGCCCTCTCGGGAGCTGCCCCCTGGCTGCTCTGGGCACGTCCAGGGCAGGGGAGGGTGGCAGGAGGGCCAGCGGGGGAGGAGCCCCCCCGGCTCCTGGCCCGATGGGCCTGTTGGGAGGGTGCTGCCGGCCCCAGCACCAGGCCAGCGCCCTGCCTCCGTCGCTGCGCCTCTGGGAGGTCAGGGCCGCAGTGACCATCGAGCGCCTCCGTTGCCATCAACGCCCGGCTTCTAAGGACAGGGCGGGTGTGGATCTAGGAGCAAGGCGGCAGGTCCCCCAGCAGCTGGGGGCTCAAGCAGGCCAGGTGACCCCACACGGCCCGGCCCGCCCTGCCTGGCACCGGGGCACCTGGGCAGGCCTCGCGCACAGCCAGAACCATGGGCGTCAGGGTTGGTTTCGTTTCTCTTCCTGGCCCCGCTTCTGCCGCCGCGAGGGACGAGAGACGGGGCCGCGTGATCCCTGCTCCGAGCACAGGTTCCGTTCACTAGGACTCGGGCGCACAAAGGCAGAGTGTGCAAGCCACATGCGTGTGTGGTGTGTGCATGTGTGGTGTGTGCATGTGTGGTGTGTATACACATGTGGTGTGTACACGTGTGTGTATACATGTGTGTGGTGTGTGCATGTGTGGTGTTTGTGTGTGGAGTGTATACGCGCGTGGTGTGTACACATGTGTGTGTACATGTGTGGTATGTGCATGTGTGTGGCATGTGTGGTGTGTATACATGCATGTGGTGTGTATACGCATGTGGTATGTGCATGTGTGTACATGTGTTTATGTATGTGCACGTCTGTACATGTGTGTGCCTCCCACACCACCCAGCCGGGCCTCCCTCCCTGCTGGCGGCTGGGCCCAGGGCAGGGACTCACGGTCGCCGACGGTGTTGGCCCCGATTGGGCCTCAGGCCCCAAGGCACAGGGACTGGACCCAGTTCCGAGTCCGGGGCCAGCCAGGAGGGGCTCCGTGGGCGGTCAGCCCAGAAGCTGGGCCTGAGACCTGTCCCTGAGACCCCTCCCTCCACAGGACATGCTGGGCCGGTGCCACCCGCTGCTCGCCCTGGTGGGGCTGCTCCGCCTCGGGTCCGGTGAGTCCTGCGGGGCGATTCCACGCGACATCCCATGGGGAGAACAGGGCCCGCCCTCGTGTCCCCCTGGACTGAAGTTCCCGGGTGGCTGGGAGCAGGTCCCAGGCGTTGGGGGGCGGTGGCTCTGCCCCTGGTGGTGACGCAGAGCCCCCTCCTGGAGGCCACCTCCCCCTTCCTGGGCCTCCCCGACCCTCCTCCCCTACTCACCCCGAGGGGTGGCCCAGGGCGGGCAGTGCCCACTCACTCGCCGGTCCCCCCGCAGTGCTTGCCGAGGAATGCACCAAGTACAAGGTCAGCACCTGCCGGGACTGCGTGGAGTCGGGGCCTGGCTGCGCCTGGTGCCAGAAGCTGGTAAGCGCTGGGGGCGGGGTCCTTGCTGCCCTCCCTCTCCTGGGCGGGGCCCTCTCCTGCCTCTGAAGCCAGGGCCACCTGGCTGGCTCCCTTTTCTCCTGGGGGCAGGAGCGCCCCAGAGGCCACCTGGCTTGTCTGAGACCAGGACAGATGGACCCGGCCACCCAGGCCAGCCCCGGCCCAGGGACCACCTGTGCCCCGAGGCAGCCGTCCAGGCAGGGTGGGCTGTGCGGAGCCCCCAGCCAGACACCCCACGAGAGAGGCTTCCGGAAGGGGGGCAGCAGCTGGCCCAGGGTGCTCTGAGCAGTGCCCAGTGCCCGGGAAGGGGACAGTCCAGCTTCAGGATGTGGAGAAAATGCAGAGAAGTTTCCCCTCTGGGGCTCCAGCTCCTCTTGTCCTCAGTTACGGTTCGTGTTCCACTCGACGCCGCCTGGACAGAAAGGCCAAAGACCCAGACAGCCGGGGCTCAGGGTGACTTCCTGGGCCCTAAGCCCACAGCGTCCTGGGACAGCCACCTCCCCCTGCCGAGGGCTCCCCCAGACCTCCGCCTCCCCCTGCCGAGGGCTCCCCCAGAGCCCCGCCTCCCCCTGCGAGGGATCCCCCAGACCCCGCCTCCCCCTGCCGAGGGCTCCCCCAGACCCCAACCACACCCTGCCCCAGGGTCACTAGGCCTATTCGGCAACACATTCGGTCACACGCATTATTATTTTTTCTCGACCATCTGAGAATAGGTTGTGGACATGAAGCCCCTCTGTCCCTTAGTACTTCAGGGGTCTTCCTTAAGAGCAAGGTATTCCCTTACAAAACCACAGAAATGTGCTTTGATAAATACATTCATCAAAATCGAGAAATTTAACATTAGTCTCTCACGGTCAAATCTACACACTTTATGCAAATTTGCTAATTGTTCCAATAACTTAAGCGGGCCTGGCCCACTCGGCTGAGACGCCCCTGCCAGGCTGCGAAGCCGCGGTCCCTCCCCGTCGCTCTGCGCTGGTAAACACTCTGCTGCCCACGAAGGAACACCGCGGGCGTGGCGTCGGCGCAGGACGCCTGCCTGAGTCAGTCACGCCTGTGGGGGCGGCAAAATGGTGACGTTCTCGTCCCTTAGCTCCTTCCCTCGGCTTCCCACGTGCGGAAGAATCTTTCTCCCCCCCAGGCTCCCTCTCGTCAGCGGGGACCCAGAGGTTTTTATTTCCTCAGTAGCTTTTAGTCTGTGACTGTCACTGTTTCGTTGTGATGCTCGAATTGCCCCAGGTTTGGCCACGCGGAGCTGGCGAGGTTGGGTGTCGGCTCCTTCTGCCCATGTGCTGCATCTTTTCTAAAAAGGGACAATAAGCATGGGGAACACACTATTCTGTCCCCTCCTGGAAGGCCCCGGTCCTCTCAGCAGAGCTGAGCTGGCTCTGTGTCCTGTCCACGTGTCCCCATCTTTTTTTATTTGAGCCCTTTCTTACTTTCCGGAATAACGAGGTGCCGCAGGCAGTTGCCGCCCTGGCCCCAGCATCAGACATTCCTCTGAGGGTCCCTGCTCTCTTCTCGGGGTGCTCCCAACACCCCGCATGTTTCCTCCTTTCCTCAATCCTGCGGCGCGGAGAGTGGTCTCAGAGCCCCCCACACCTGCACGGAGCGACTGCACGGGAGGAGTTCGGCGGCTCGTGTCCCCTCTCTTTTCACCGGAACATGGCCCTGCGTTTAAACGCTCGGTCAGGCTGCTTTCTCCCGCCCCTGCCGCGAGCCGACGTCCTGCGTCTGAAACCGGCACAGTCAGGGGCCTTGTTTCCGCGCAGGTTGCATTTTAGCCTTGCTTTTCTCTGCGTTCTCGCTCAGCGCTTCTATTTCTTGAGTACCTGAGACACCGACAGGGCTCCAAAGCTGATGCAGCATAAGAACCCACCCGGCCCCCGCCCCCGCCCCACCGGCTGCTGGGGCCACCAATCCATGTCCCTTTGTGCAGGTGGCAGGGACACCCAGGCACCTTTGCACACTTTCCAAACCCAGGAGCCTTTGGGGGACAAAGCATCGAGGGGAAAGTGGCCTGGACCCAGGACCCCTGCCCTGCTGCTTCCGTCTCCCTGTGAACTGCGAGGGGCTTGGCCCAGAGCCTGGCCAGGGTCCTGGGTGCCTTGGGACAGCCGCTGGCTGAGAGGGGACACCTGTTCCCTGGGGACAGAGGTTCTGCTGACGGGGGGCTCGAAGCCCCGGGCCAGCTACCGGATGATGTGGACACTCCCGGCTCTGGGCCGTCTGCGGCTCCCCCTCGCGGTCAGCCTTGGGCTGGAGCGGTGGCCCCGAGTCCTCACTGCTGCTGGAGGCAGGGGTGGGTGCCGCCTGGGAGCCTGGAGGAAGGGGCTGCAGGACTCCCCCCGGCAGCTTCCGACTCCCCCCAGCCCCACAGGGACTCTGTCCCCCGTTCCGGGTGCAGAAGAGGAGGGGGACCCCGAGGGTTGGTCAGCCTCCTGCAGCCCCCACAACGTGGCCCCCATGTTTCTCTGCCCTCATCCTGACCCCCAACACTCCTCCCCCAGAACTTCACGGGGCCAGGGGACCCCGACTCCATCCGCTGCGACACGCGGGGTTGCGCGGCCGATGACATCATGGACCCCCAGAGCCTGGCCGAGGCCCTGGAGGACCGGGACGGGCGCCGGAAGCAGCTGTCTCCACAGCAAGTGACGCTTTACCTGCGGCCAGGTAGGCTGGGCCTCGATGGAGTGAGCCGGGCACACCATGTGGGGTTGTTCCGGGGCCCTGCTCTGGGCGAGTGTCCAGGCTGGACGGCAAGGTGGCCAGGGAGGCCCAAGGACTGCCGGGCACTCAGGGCCAGAGTCTGAGCCCCCCACGGCCTTCCTCTCCATGCCCAGGCCGATTGCCCCACACTCCACTGTCTGCAGCTGGGTGTCTGGGCTCCCCTTTAGCCCTGTGTTCTGCGCTTTAAAAGGGAGAACGGGCCATTTGGAAACATTATTCTATCCTCCTCTCAGAAGGCCGTGGTCCTCTTAGCAGAGTAAAGGCTCTGATAAGTCCTGCACCTGAGAGACCTGGGTGACTGTTTAAACCTGCGTCGCCCAAACTGACCTTACCAGAGAGCCGTGTTTCAGAACTCAGCCCCGCCCATCCTCTGAGAAACGCCCTCCCGGGAGAGGACTGTGGCAGAGCAGCAGACGGAGCAAGGCCTGGGGTGGGCAGCTCCACCCTGACTGTCTGGTGCCCAGGCCACGGCGAGGCCAGTGAGGGGACAGGCAGCCATCCCTGAGCACTGCCCGTGGGAGAAGGCCGGGGGCAGCACCCCAGAGAGGGGTGGCCTTGGAGGGCCCCGTGGTGTTTGGCTGCGGAGTCCCGCCTTTGGGAGCAGCCAGGGCAGAGGCCCACCGAGTTGGCCCCAGGGCAAAGTGGGCGAGGGACAGTCGGGTGAGGGCCAGCAGCAGGGAGGAGGCCCTGGGGCCAGCTGTGCACAGGGGCCAGGAGCCCAGGGGTAACACACAGATGGGCTGTCCCCATCTGCTAACATACTCACCTTGGGGACGAGGATTTCAGTGTAAGAGCTTTGGGGACACAACAGATGGACGTTCTCGTATAGTCCCGTCACTCGGGGATGGGGACGTGGGATTTCTTCCTACGCAAACATCACGGGAGCACCTGCGCAAGCCCAGATGGCGTGGCCTGCGGCACGCCTGGGCTGTGTGGTGTGGCCTGTCGCTCCTGGGCCACGCGCCTGTGCAGCATGTGGCCGCACTGGACGCTGCGGGCCACTGCGACACAGCGGCAGCACCCGTGAGTCTAACCACGTCCAGACACAGGAAAGGTGCCGTGAAAATACGGCATTAGAATCACGTGGGACCACCGTGGTATGTGTGGTCCTTCCTTGACCCGAACGTTGTTATATGGCACATGACCATTTGGGGAGTGTGTGTCCTTTCTCTGAAATTCATGTCCTCCTGGGCGTCCTGCGTGTGATGCTCGCCCTCCTGCCAGGCGCGGGAGGGGAGTCTGCAGGATGTGGGCTGCCAGAGAGGGCGTCCGCACGCAGGCCTGGGGCCTCACTCTGGCGTCCCTGCGGGCAGGTCAGGCGGCCGCCTTCAACGTGACCTTCCGGCGGGCCAAGGGCTACCCCATCGACCTGTACTACCTGATGGACCTCTCCTACTCCATGCTCGACGACCTCATCAACGTCAAGAAGCTGGGCGGCGACCTGCTCCGGGCCCTCAATGAGATCACGGAGTCTGGCCGCATCGGTGAGGCCCACGGCAGCTGCCAGCCCTGGCTCCGTCCTTCCCCAGTCCCCGGGCTGCCCCTGCCACCCACACACCTCCAGGGGCAGGTCCCCAGGGCCAGACGCCAGGGGCTCCCGACACAGCCTCCCCACGGGGCGTCCACAGGGCTGCAGTGGGGCCTGCGTCCCCGCCACGGCCACATCCAGCCACTGGCTCCCGAGACCCGCAGACATCGCCCGGAACCCACTTCCTCTTCCCCCTGCTTTTGTTTGTTTTTTGGTGTGTTTAAAAGACAGACGTCTCACAGTGCTAGTTATGAAGCATGAAAGAACCCAAAGCATGCAGACCGCACGGTAATCACGCACTAAAGACACAGTCACAGCGAACGCTGCTGGGCCGAGCGTCTCAGTGCCCCGCACGCACAGACTCGTGGACACAGCGCAGGTCTCGGACGCACACGCGTCGGGGACTAGGGAACCTCTCACCCCACCAGTGCCACTCCCAGAACAGCACTCTGCCACCTCCTCCATGTGCAGGATGCACAGTGCACGCTCAGACACGTGAACGCATGCTCACACAGCTGCTCGTACACACGCTAACACACACACACACGTGTGCTCACATGCATACAAGACCACAGGTGCACACACAGATGCTCACACACATGCTCACACATTTTGCTCACACTCATACTGTGCCACACATGTGTGCATGCACACGCTCACACAGTCATGTCCCACGTATGAGACCATGCCTATGCACATGCACACTACCATGCAGGCATGAACACACTTGTGCTCACACATGTACATGCCTGCACACATATCTTGCCACACGTGTGCATGCACACACTCACACAATCGTGCCCCCGTAAGACCATGCATGTGCAAATATAGACACATTGCCATGCACGCATGAACACACACTTGTGCTTACACATGTACACGTTCACATGCACGTGCTCACACGCCCAAACACATACCTGGTCACACATGTGGATCAGGTATCCATACCTGAACATACTCAATGCACACAGGAACACACATGCACACACTCATGCAACACACGTATATAATCACACACATGCACACACACTCATGCTCATGTAAGATCACGTGCACACACAGATGTACTCAGATGCACACATGTGCTCACACATGTCCATGATTGCATACTCTCTGGTTCACACACGGCTGCACACACTCATGTATGTGCTTGCACAACACACACACACACACACAC